CATTTGTGGTCATATTCACCTATCTATTAAGGAAGTATGTAGAAGCAAATGTATGTGGTTTGGGAGAAAACAATACCTCCTCCGTGAACAAAACAGAAGTATATATATATTATTGTGTATGCAGGATTTTTTACTTACTTCAAAATTTGAATGGATTGGAGGATATGTGGGAACCTCAATACTGTTTACAGGTAGGAAGCATTATGTTTAATGATAGATTGCAACTTAAAAAAAAAAGTCTCATACTTCCAGGTGTATGAAATCAGATTAACCTACAGCAACTGGCATTTTCCCCAGAAGTTCTTCCTTTGAATATAAAATCATTGTTTTCTTAGAGGAGGAAAGCTACTGAAATTAAAGTAAAATGAATTTCCTGATTTTAAATTTTACTTATGACATATATATGGTGAAGAATGTAAATTTTCTTGAGCCATAGTGTTATATGAGCCTTACTGGGTGGTGACGGTAAGCAAATGTTTTCTTTGTTGCCACTATCAGTCTGAGGGAAAAGTATACAGAACATAAAGCAAGAAGGAAAGGGCATGTTACAAATCAACTATATCCTGGCTCATTTTTGCTTTGTTTTTTGTTGTTGTTGTTGTTGTTGTTAAAGCCCAGAATCATAACTTTTTTCCTTTAAATGTGTGCCAGGATTATTACATTTAATTAAAACTAGATTTTACGTAGTATGCAGAAAATTTGAGAATCCTCATGCAAATGAGATATTGACAATCTATACTTAGCAAAAAGATAAACTGGGTAGTAGCAATGATTCTTTGTTACAATGAGTAATTAACTCATTATTTGGTGAAGTTAAAAGGGCCTCTAGATGCGTAAGGATTGATTTTTTCCCCATTGTTAAATACACCATATGCCTGTTATCAAAAATGTTTTACATAATAATTGTCTAAATATGGTTGGTCCAACTTATTTCTGGTTTGATTCTCGACACAGATCATGTCACTAGGCACCTTATTTTTAAAAGAGTGCAAATAAAGATAAAAATGTGTACCTCCTTTCCCAGTGTCCCTATTGCAAGATGAGAGACAGTATAATCAGTTATTGATTTGTAATTCATTAAATTACAATCAATCTGTGAGTAGTTGATAGCTGACTGCTGTCATTCTGCTGAGAAGTGATTATTTTGGTTGCATAAAATAAATATTACATTGTGAATTTTGTTTAATCAAATTAGTAGTGGAAATGGACTTTGGTAAGTGCAGGATGTATGTAGTACCTTAGTATAACTTGACAGTTTTTAATGTGTATCCCTATGGAGATTTATTAAATAATTAGAATTTAGTTTGATTGTGAACTCAGAATTATGCATTGTCTTTTTTTGTTTTATTTTGTTTTGTTTGAGATAGGGTCTCAATCCTGTTGCCCAGGCTGGAGTGCAGTGGCTCAATCAAAACTCATTGCAGCCTCCATTCGCAGGCTCAGGTGATTCTCTCACTTCAGCCTCCAATTAGCTGGGACTACAGACCCCAGCTGCTACACCCGGCTATTTTTTGTATTTCTAGAAGAGACAGGGTTTTGCTATGTTATCCAGGCTGGTCTTGAACTCCTGCACTGAAGCAATCCACCCACCTTGGCCTTCCACAGTGTTAGGATTACAGGCGTGAGCTCTCGCGCCCTGCCAGAATTATGTGTTGTCAACCTGCCTCATTCCTTTTGAGTTTTTTCAAAAAACTCATTTTCTTATTATTTCCCTACTCCAGTATATATAGTAACCATTAGCTTTAATGAGATAAATAGGAATGTGATTGCATATGCATTAGAAAGATCAGGATTGCATGCAATTAATAGAAATGTTTTATTATATACAGAAGGAGCAATTTGATCTTAGTAACATTTATGAGATTTCTAGCCTTAGGATGACTCCTAGAAGGATGTATCATTTTGTGTAAAATGCTGTCCAGACTCAACAGGCAAATATATTGAGCTCTTTTGCATATATTTTCTGTGGGGCGGGAGTGTTATTGCATAGGCATGTTTTGTAATTGTCAACTTGATCTAATGGGCATTTCCAAAAAAGGACTTAGATATTTTAATTAATATTTACTTGTTAATCTAATACTGACAGAATTTCAGAGCATCAAGGAGCAAAATTTACAGTTGAATTTTGAGTGCGATGCATCTCTTACTAGTCATGTAATAAACCTGTGTTAGATCCTGTGTTACATACATCCAAAGAGGCACTGGCTGGTTACATATTTAGTATTTGTAGCTGGTATGATGGGTGGCAGCATCATTAAAATGCTTTATCTCATTTGTTAACTGTGTGTCTCTAAAATTTTTACCATTTTAAGCCCTTAGGTAGAATTTGGTCATACCTCACTTTACCTCTCTTTATAAAGTATAACACTGCATATTCACATATGTATAAATATCTATATCTAAAGAAGTATTTTAAAGAGTATCTTAAACTGTTTGGTTTTGTAAACTATATATAACCTATTAATGCAGTTTTATTGTAATCATATGCTACAGTGGTACATTTAATCAGTGTAAAAAATTTTTTTGTAGAAAAAGATTCAGATTTTTGCATTTAATTCCTTAGCTGGAATTCGTGGGTTGATCAGTAGTTCAGTATTTTGAAATCTGTGTTCTTCAGCCACCTTGCTGGTGTTACCAGTAAAACATTGTGTTTTGTTTCTTTCTTTGTTTTTGAGATGGGGTCTTGATCTGTCACCCAGGCTAGAGTGGAGTGGTGTGATCTTGGCTCACTGCAGCCTCGACTTCCTTCACTTAAGTGATCCTCCCACCTCAGCCTCCTGAGTACTTGGGATTAGGGGCTCATGCCACCATGCTGGGCTAATTTTTGTACTTTTTGTGGAGACGGGGTTTTGCCATGTCTCAATTCCTGAACTCAAAACAGTCCACCCATTTTGGCCTCCCAAAGTGCTAGGATTACAGACATGAGCTACCATGCCTTGCCTTATTTCTTGATTTTAGAAATTGAGTATCATGTGGGATAAAATCAAACAGAACTAATTATAAGTAACTCTTATTTCAAAAACTTGGGTTATTTCCCCATTTTTTTGTGCTATTTCAATTAAAGTCATTTTTCAATATTTCAGGTTTAATGAAAATATTAAAATATTCCAGTCACAGATACTTATTGCTTATGAATTATGAAGTCATAAACAGTATCTTAGGACAAATGAACAAAATGAACTAAATGGGATCCTATAACTTTTATCACCAAAGTTAATAATCTTGTGGAACATTACAAATACAGTAGAGAAATCTTTAAGTCAAATAAGACTTAATACCCTGTAACTGTGTTTATGAACAAGTTACTTAACTATTTTTAACTGTAGTCTTGCTTCAAAATGAAAAACAACTTCTCTTGGTCTTTTTCAAGCGCTGTGCCTTTACTGTTTCTTTCAGAAGTTTACACTTCCTATTTCAGAGGAAATAACAGGTTGTCACGTAGAAACCACAGTTTCTTCTTCATATACTTATTTATCTCTATTAAAATCGTATTTAGTTCCTTTAGTTATTTTGGCTTAACTGCTTATAGCTAAAAATGATAATAATTACTAGCTATTACTATTTGCTGTGTTTCAGGCACTATTCCCTCTCCTCTCCTCTCCTCTCCCCTCTCCTCTGTGCTCTCCTCTCTCCCCTCTCTGCTCTCCTCTCTCCCTTTTCCCCTCTCTCCTCTCCCCTCTCCCCACTTTCCTTTCCTCCCCCTTTTCCTTTCCTCTCCTCTTTCCTCTTCTTGATGGAGTCCCACTCTGTCTCTCATGCTAGAGTGCAGTGGTGCAAAGGCGCGATCTTGGCTCACTGCACCCATTGCTTCCCAGACTCAAGTGATTCTCCTGCCTCAGCCTCCCAAGTAGCTGGGTAATTTTTGTATTTTTAGTAGAGACAGGGTTTCACCATGTTGGCCAGGCTGGTCTCGAACTTCTGACCTCAGGTAATCCACCCACCTCGGCTTCCCAAAGTGCTGGGATTACAGGTGTGAGCCACTGCACCCAGCCTTTTGTGTTTTCTGTATATTAATTAATATGTTTAGTTCCCTCAACAACTCTTTCAGGTAAGCACAGTCACTGTGTCCTTTTTACAGATGAGGAAACAGGTCTAGAAAAGTCAAGTAACTTCAGGGTTACACAGCAAGTAAATACTGAATCATGGATTTGAACCCAGCCAGTCTTACTCTAGTCTTTCTCTTAACTGTCACGTTGTACTCCAGTTCTAGCCTGAATTGTGCTTTCTTGCCTTTGCTCTTGTTTTTCTCTTTGCCCTCTCCCAACCAGTTGAAATGCTTCTATGTTAGGCCATTTTAAAAATAGGCAAATTAAATAGTTAAAATCTAGGAAGTCTCATCTCTGCCTAATGCTTAATTTGTGATATTGGGCTTGTTGCTTTTTACATATTTACAATGAAGCCTATGTATACCCAACAGAATTTTATTTTTATTTTTATTATTTTTTCTTTTTTTTTGAGACAGAGTCTTGCTGTGTCACCCAGGCTGGAGTGCAGTGGCGCAATCATGACTCACTGCAGCCTTGAACCCTTGGGCTCAGTCTCTTCTCCCACTTCAGCTTCCTGAGTAGCTGTGACTACAGGCATGCAGCACCACACCAGGCTAATAGAATTATTTTTTAATGATTACATAGGGTGTATAGCAAATGTATAGCATAGTGCCTGAGACATGATGAACTTTGTGAGGGTCGTTGGCTAGTTGTTTTATACTAGCCGGTAAGTCGTCTCTAAAAGATACTGTCCTCCCCATCTAATCAGTGTGTTACTTGTTCAGAGTGGGTTTGTAAGGCTGAGGGCATGTTGTTTGTGTTTAAGAATCATGTTTAAATGTGTGTTTTGCAATTTGGGGATACAAATGCTTACCAGAGGATTTCTGTCTTCATTGTTCTTCAGTGAGGTTGAAGTGTAAGTCATAAAGGAGATTTTATGATGCCTGAAAAGCTTTCTGTAGAGTGTGTCATATGGCTTACTTAACTTTATTTTCTTTATTTTTTTTTTTCCAGGAAATTTGGTGAGCGGCCTCCACCTAAACGACTTACTAGGTAAGTATTATATTAGTCAGCTTTTCATACACACATTTATGAAAGTATAAATCCTATTGTTTTAGATATTATGTTAGGTACCCTTGAAGTCATTCAAATATTACTATCTAGAGCATAAACTTATTCTCATCCTTCCTTTCCCTCATCTCTCCTCCCTTCCCTCACCAAAAACAGGAATAAAAGGAATAGTTGAAAAGGGAAAATGAAACCTTTCTTAGAATTAGTCTTGAGTCTAATGTAGTGAGTACAACATGGATGGCAGTGCAGATAGCTTTCTATATCTAGCTGTGGTTAGCCCATCACAATTTGTTGATTGCAGGTGAGATTTGAAAGTAAATGCTTTTAGGAAAGAGTTTTAAGGAAAACAATTTCTACCCATTTTAAGAAAACACAAGTTTTATCTATTTTTAATGAGTATAAGTAAGTTGTAGAATTTACGTTTTAGTTATGAATGTTAAAAGTATTAGTCTTGGCCGGGCGCGGTGGCTCAAGCCTGTAATCCCAGCACTTTGGGAGGCCGAGACGGGCGGATCACGAGGTCAGGAGATCGAGACCATCCTGGCTGACACGGTGAAACCCCGTCTCTACTAAAAAATACAAAAAAAAAAAGCCGGGCGAGGTGGCGGGCGCCTGTAGTCCCAGCTACTCGGGAGGCTGAGGCAGGAGAATGGCGGGAACCCGGGAGGCGGAGCTTGCAGTGAGCCGAGATCCGGTCACTGCGCCCCAGCCTGGGCGACAGAGCAAGACTCCGTCTCAAAAAAAAAAAAAAAAAAAAAGTATTAGTCTTGAATGATTTTTAAAATTTCCAGCAGCCAGAGTTGTAAAATAAAGAGACCTAGTTCTATAGCCATGTCCTAGAGTCAGTGCAAACCTTGCCTTATTAGCCGTTTATTTTTGGAGACTTTCAAGAAAGTTGTATGTATATATGTCTGTCCTTTTTCTTCATAAACTCAACTGAGATCACACTCTTATTGTTCTACACCTTTTAACGCCACTTAACAGTACATCTTCTACCTTGATATTTCCTCTTAATGGCTCCATGGTTTTTCATTGTTTTCATACCACTTTTAATATTTCATATTGATGACCATTTAGGTTATTTCCAAATTATTGCTATTGTTTTAAAAAGCTGTTATGCTTAAAGAATGATGGGGACCTACAGAAGGATACAAAGGACAGTTCGAAGGGGAAATCTGGGACGCTTTGATTATCAAGATAATTAATGAGAGTAATGGATTAAAACCCATGTAATAAAACAACAGCCTAAAAGTCTATACGGAGATAATTAATCTCAGGGTAAATATTATTTATTTATATAAGTAAAAATTATTTATAATCAGTAAACAGGGCAAAGAGGATAGCTTTTCCTTACAGATGCATGTTGCCTAATAAATGTAGAAGGAATGGTGGTGGCATTAGGAAATTAGGCTTTGACAACCTCAGTAGGCAAAAATCATCAGTGGATGCTTACGCTACTGGATTAATGTTTGATGACAAACACAGTATTTACAGAGTCTCAAAGTATACACTCACAACATATGTATTTAATGATAATAGGGAAAAGTAATAACATGATAGTGGAGAAACCTGTCAGACATCACCTTAATTATGTAAATTATTATCACCAGTAATGAACAGATAGGTATCATGTGCATCCCAAGAAAGACATATTATATTACTTTTGTGGTATTTTTGCCAAAAATGCATAAGCTACATCCAAGAATAAGGAAACATCAGACAGAAACAAATTGAGGGACATTCTAGAAAATAAATTGTTACTTGCTTTTCCTAAATTTTAAGATTATAAAACACAAAACCCTGCAAAACTCTTCTAGATTAGAGGAGACCAAAGAGGCAAAGCTATATTTAAACAAATCCTGAACAGGAAAAAATTTTTTTCTTTTGCTGTAAAGCTGAAGTGGCCAAATGTTTTCTGTAATGGATCAGATAATAAACATGTTGTTTAGAGGGCCTCACTAAGTGTGTTAGGACTTCTCAACTCTGTCCTTGTGTCTCCAAATCAGCCATAGACAGTATCTAAAAGAATGACATATCTGTGTTCCAGTACAACTTTATTTCGTTTACAAAAACTGGTGACCCTCCTGATTTGACCTGAGGGCAGTAGTAGTTTCTCAGAATACCTACTTCACCCACCAGGGGACCCTCATAAAGGACTTCCGTGGGACAGCTGGCAAAATTTGAATAAAATCTGTAGATTAGGTATTAGTATTGAATCGGCGAAAATTGTATAAAAGAATGTCCTTGTTAGGAAATAGACGCTGAAATATTTTGGGTGAGGTAGTACTATATCTGCAATTTGCTCTTAAATGATTTAAATAACAATATGCAAATAAGGTGTAGAATGTTAACATTATGGAGGTCTGAGTGAAAGGAGACTAGGAATTCTTTGTACTACTTGTACTATTACAACATTTCTGTAATCTCAATATTATTTTTAAATTTAAATTTTTTTGGAAAAAGCATTACATTAATTCTAGGTTAAGTAAACTGGGAAAATATAGCTTGTCTCACAAGGCCATGTAAATATATTTTCAATTACTTGTTTTCATATATATATATTCCGTTGAGTCAGTTCTGGTGAGTGGAATTGCTGTATTCATATGTCTAGGCATTTTGAAATTTAAAATTTAACATTTTTGTTTCATTACCAGCAGCAGTTAGACTGCTAATGATATATTTTGATGAGTAAGTTAATGTAAAATAACATTCTCTAAAAATAACAATCAGTACAATGATAATAAACCTCATAAGGAAATGTGCCTTTCTTTCCCCTAAATAGATGCAATAAGTCCCATTTAGTTTATAATTATTTTCCATTGTTTGCCCTTTAAGCAGTTTCCCCTCTTTGGAAAACTTGAGTAGCTTTTAAGACTTTTGCCTCTGGCCAAGATAGAGTAACATGGAGTAGAATTACTCTCTGGCTTGGAACAAAAACCTGGACAAAATATGTAAAACAACAGTTTTCCAGGTATTGAACATCAGGTATAGAAGGATAAGTGATTACTGAGAAACTGAGAGTCCACAGAGGGCAAGACAGCAGGGCTGCAAAGTGGAGAGGAATTAACTGTATAAATAGGTCCAGAGATCTATCACAGAGGTTTCCTTTTAGTCTTCAGCTACATACTGATCAGCATGCGTGTGTAAGGAAACTACTCCGTCGTGGGGATTGGGGAAAAACATCCCAAAAAATTAGAGGAAACAATTTCTAAAGTTCACTTAGGACTATGAATTGTGCCTGTTAACAGTAGCCAGAGTGGAAAATCTCATAATTTATGGGGCATTCGCTAGACTGCTCAGAAGGGTTTTGTTTCGGTAGTGATATAAAATTGGGTCCAGGCATGATGCTCTGTTTTCACCTGGCAAACTTCAAGAAGGATTGAAAAGATCAAACTTAATTGTGTACCAGAACAAAGCTCAAGAATATAGAAATAGAAAAATATCCAGCACTAAGAAAGGCAAAATCAAAACATACCAGTCATACAAAGGAGCAAGAAAATATCCATAACAAGAAAAATCAGTGAATCAAAACCAACCCAGAAATGACATGCATGATAGAATTATTGGATAAGAACATTAAAACAGTAATTTTTTTGTTTTTTTGTAGAGACAGGGTCTCACTATGTTGCCCAAACTCGTCTTGAACTCTTGGCTTCAAGCAATCCTTCTGCTTCCTTGGCCTCCCAAAGTGCTGGGATTACAGGTGTGATTCACGGTGCCCAGCCTAAAATAGTTACTATATTTGTGTTCTATATGTCCAAGATGCCAAGATCAAGAGCTGGGGAAATTTTTCTTTGAAGGGTCAGATGGTGTATATTTTAGGTTTTGTTGCCCATATAACTTCTATCATACTACTAAGCAGCAGTAGACCATGTGTAAATAATTCGATTGTCTGTACAGTGAAGTATAGCTTTATTTGTAAAATGGGTGATGGGTAGGATTTGGCCTACAGGCTGTAATTAGTAGATACCTGAGCTAGAGGAGAGGTTAGAGACATAGATTACACACACACACACACGCACATGCACACGCACACACTCAAATCTCTAAAGATGAAAACTACAATATTTAAGGTGGAAAAATACACTTAGGATTAATTTCAGAATGGACAAAGAGTAGATTAGTAAACACGAAAACATAGAAATAGATACTGTCTAAAATGAAGCACACAAAGTAAAAGTCTGAAAAAAAGTGGTGAGCATTAGTGAGCCATGGTTTATTGTCAGGTGACCTAATATATATGTAGTTAGTCATTGTAGGGAGAGTATGATTAAAACAATATATGAAGAAACAATGACAAAAATGTTCTAACTGGAAAATTAGTGAAAATTGTAAAACCACAGATCTAAGCCGGGTGCTGTGGTTCACGCCTGTAATCCCAGCACTTTGGGAAGCTGAGGCGGGCAGATCTCTTGAGCTTAGGAGTTCAAGATCAGCATGGGCAACATGGCGAAACCGTATCTGTACCAGAAAGTTAAAAAAAAAAAGTTAGCCAGGAGTTGTGGCACGTGCCTGTAGTCCCAGCTACTTGGGAGACTGAGGTGGGAGGATTACTTGAGCCCACGAGATGGAGGTTGCAGTGAGCTGAGATCACACCACTGCATTCCAGCCTGGGTAACAGAGTGAGACCCCATCTCAAAAAAAAAAAAAAAAAATCAGTTAATCCTGAGTACAGAAACTACCCGGAAGTACTCTATAATCAAATTGATTAAAGTCAGTGATAAAAAAACAACAGAAAACAAAAGACAAATTATGCACAAAGGAACAAAGAGAGGATGACAGCAGGTTTTTCATCTGAAACCTTGCTATGGATAAGACAGAGCAAGTGCTTTGAAATGCTCAAGGGGGACCTATACTTGTCAACCTAGAATTCAATACCCAGTAGATATATACTGTTTTAGGCATAGTAAAAATGGAAAGAATTTATTGCAAATAGGCCTTAGCTACAGTATTAAAAGAAATTCTTCAAGCAGAAGGATGAT